TCTTCTACGACTTCTAAACGAATACTCTTCTCTCTCTCTCTCTCTCTCTCTCTCTCTCTCTCTCTCTCTGGTGCTTGCAATTGGGATGGGGGCTCAATTATCCCTCTCTATGATGATTCCCTCAGTGAGGCTGATTGGCTAGGGGAGGGATGCAAGAGAACTCGTGAGTTCACTCAAGACCACATGTCTACTGTAGAAGCGGGATACTGCACAGGCAGATGACATGTAGAGGCAGAGAGAGAGGGCTCGGGATGTGGCCCAGCTTAGGAAAGAAAGAGAATGGGTATGCATGCTCAGAGATATTTTCTCTCTTTAGAAAGGAATGGGACCGTACACTCGGGGGTATTTTTCTCTCTATAAATGTTTTCACTCTACTCTCGATGGGATTAAAAGCAAAAGACGATTGAAAACAAGAATTATACATCGTTTTAGTGATCAATAATCAACCCGTTTACAAATGACTTAAACTTGTTTATATAGAGAACTCACCGAACAGGGGTGAATGCTCAAAAACTAAGCTTAATTACAGTTTAATAAATTAGAATAAAATCCTGAAATTAGGTAAAATGATCAAAATGCCCCTAAAACCTTTTATGCTAATGACAAAACCATCTCTGCCTGAGGGTCCTTCCTCCATTGCCAGATCTTGAAAGCTTTTTCAGAAACTTGTAGCGATGGTTCAGTTGATTTGTTGTTATATCCTCAATGCTTGTTCAATTTTGAGAATTTTGATGCCTTTAATTTTGCTGAGGCAGTCGTTTTCCATGAGGTGGAAGTCCGGCAAGATTCGTGAACTTTGATCGCCAATGTTATTCAGCCTTTGATGCTCTGAGTCTTTGTTTTACTTGCAAACGAAAGAGAAGACTGTCACAGTCATTTTGCACCAAGTTTGTTTTGTTTTAGCCTTCATTTGGAGCATTTTCCAAATTTGGGAGGTCACCAGAAAAAGGGATTCCGGCGACCGAGCGGACCTGCTTTTTATGCAACTTTGGGGTTTGTGCTTATC